TCACGCCGCTTCTCGGCCTCTTTGGCAGCCGCCGCCGCCGCCGCTTCCTGGCAGCATCCCACAGGCTTCAGGGCCTTATAAGGCTCGACAAGCCTTAAAAACCCTGTGTCTGAAGAGCTCAAAAAAGAGAGAGAGAGAGAGAGAGAGCTGTGCGGCCCCAGGGCACCTCGGCCTGCTGCACCTGCATCGGATCTCAAGTCTTTCGGTTTAGGGTTTAGGGTTTTTCGGGTTTTTTTCAGAGTTGCAGAAGACATGAAATGAAACCTGCATCGGATCAAGTCCATCAGACTTTCTTCGCTAGCCGCCGACCATTGGTGTCAGATGCAAAGTTGACGACAGTACGGCTATACAGGCTGTGCATGTTCAGCGAAACACCCTGGTCGTGGGAACCTCGAGTCAGGGTCAGGGCTGCTATCATAGTTCTCCTCAGCCTGGAACTGCTCCTGCGACATGGCAGAGGCTTCATCGATCAAGGCCTCCAGGAAGCGAAGAGGCCTGAGCTGTGTATATCTCCGACCGCCCACCATCAGGTCCGGCCGGTTGGCATGACCGCCCGTGGTCTGTGCAGCTCAGCCCTGCCCCCCGGATTTTTGGACCCTTCGGGGCCTAGTACTGTACTCAGCCCTTTGCTTGATGAAGCACAGGGGAGCCAGCACAAGTTTCGGCGAGTTTTAGTCATTTCAGCTTGAAAAAGCAAGAGGTGACGACAAATGCCCTGAAAGGCATTGTCGTCACCTCTTGCTGCATCAAGCTGAATTGACTATAACTCGCCGAAACTTCTGCTGGCTCCCCTGTGCTTGGGATGCCCCACAGCATCAGGGAGTCGGCAAACTCAGGCTTCGCTTTCAATCCAGTCAACTCAGACATCCATGGAACGTCGAAGGAGGAGGAAGCGAATACGACATCGGCATGCCTTGACGCGAAAACGGCTGCTGTTGTCCTGCTTCAACACAAAGCACTAGATTACTTCGATCACAGCTGCGTCGTACCCTGTGCCCGATGCTGATGCCTCCTGTTCCAGCACGTCGGCCCAGGAAGGGCCCGAAGACTTCACCGGGGTGGGGTGGCTCACGGGCTCGATCTTCGCCTTGAAAGAGATACAGTGTGAGCTCATTAAAAATGAGTGCAAGGTGCACAGGCAGTTTGAAAGTTTGAGCACAAAGTGTTGTAGCACGATTCCCAGCGCCTTGGCCTCCGTGTCGGTGTCCTTGACCACCTTGGCCTTCAAGGTCTTCAGCTCCTCAACCAGCTCCTGGCGTGAGAAGCGCGGTGTCCAGCGCCAAGAGCAGGGCGCCGGTCGGAGGCGCCTGGTTCCTTTTCTCGGCACCGGAGAGGCGGGTCCTCAGCGCCTTTCAAACGCAGAAAGAAGGCCCCCCCGAAACCCCCCTTTTCGAAGGGCCAAACGTGGGCCAAACACCCCGCCTGGATCTCTTTCTCGGGGCCTTGGCCCTGGCTTTGGCCGGGGCGGCGCTCCGCTTGCAGTGCCGCCAGCTTGGACATGGCGGCCCTCGGACCAAAGGAGGCTCTGCCGAACCTGTCACCGCCTCTACACCAGCCCTATAGCCCCTCCCGGGAGACTCGCGAGCTCGTGCTTCCAAGAGGCTCCGCCCGCTGCTCGGAAGCCTTGGCCTCGCCTCTGCTCAGGTTCTGCGAGAGCGAGAGCGAGAGCGAGAGAGAGAGAGAGAGAGAGAGAGAGAGAGAGAGAGACCTAGAGTCCCCACTGTAGTTCCTTTTTTTGGTTTAACCAAATCTGTATTCAGGATCCCAAAAGGTAACCCCAAGAGGGAACTGCAATGGAGACTGTAGGGAGAGACCGGGTATAAGCAGCGACGCAGCACGAAAGCAAGAAGACAGGAAACGCAGGCAGTGGCCATGGAAGGCTCGGGGCAACAGGAACTGAACCCAAAAACACCGGAAGTGCCCGAAGAAGGGGCTCTCCGCCCTTCTTGCCCGGCCTTTGGCCTTCTCCAAGTCCTGAGATCCGAGAGTCCATATATGGGTAGTTCTCTAAATTAGGGTCCCTTTGGGGTGCCCTTTTATATATGGGTGCCGCACTATATTGGGACCCTAATTTAGAGAAGTACCCATAAAGGCTTAGATGGGTTTAGGTCTTCACAGCTTGCAGGGTTTTTTAGGTTCTTAAGCCCTCAGGGAGGACACCGCTCCTGCTGAAGGTCGTTGACCTTGCGCCGCAGCTCCCCAGCCTCCACCGCTGCTTTGGCGATGGCCTGGAACTAGAGGAGACGTCGTCTTTGCGGCTTTTAGGGCGGGGCTTTCTACGGTAAGCAAGAGTGAGGCGACACGGTCGAGGCCCCGCGGGCCTCCGTGAAGGAGGTTTGGGCCTTGCTCAGCTCCTCCGAAGCCGGAAGCGAAGAGCCGAAGCCAACAAAAGCCAAGAACTCACCGGTGCAGAGGTTCCTGCTGCGCTGCCTTGTGTGCCTGCTGCTGGGCTTCCTCCTTGATCGCTGCCTCGGCAGGGAAGGAAGCTGAGAGCTCCTTCTAAGAGTGCTCCATCTTCGGCCTCCAGCTGCGTCCGAAGCTCCTCAAAAGGCCGGCGCTGAAGAGCACAGCTCCCAGTGCTTGCAGCAGCTACGGGCTCGGCTCCTCCACCTTGGACTGGGCCTCAGCCGCCTCCTCCACGTGTGGATTAGACTTACCATCACACCGCTTCTTCTCATGGTAGGATACAGCTACAATGGGCTACGAGCATGTATAAGACGAAGATGGTGGCATCGCACAGTGCTTGCAGTGCTGTGCATGCTCTGATGCGCGCCTTGGCTGCCATGTTGTGGATCTGAACACGGCGCAGGGGCACGGGGGCAGTGCGAAGTGAGCCCGGAGAGGGTCTCTTGAGCTGAGAGCCGTCACAGGCCAGGCAGTGAGAAGACTCCAGGGCTCCACTAGTTAGAAAGTGCTAGCAACGCAAAGCCGAAGCCAAAAGCCAAGTCATGCTTTGAGGAGCCTTTTGGGTGAGGTCCAACTCCTTGAGCTCCCGAGCCTCAGAGATCTCAGAGACGTCGTTTCAATGGCGACGGCGCCCGAGCAGCGAGCGCTGCCCTCCGCGATTCGGCGGCAGGCACCCCGCAAGGCCTGCGCTGGAGTGCTGGCTGTGTAAGGGGGGTTGCCGCCATCCAAGGCCCATGCCAGGAAGTCCCAGCAAGGGGCCTCGGTCCGGTCGCCATCACGGCCGCGGTCGGAGAAAACACGCAGACGGGGCGCTCTGAGACTCGAGTCGGGCGCCTGCACTGCCTGCCAGCTGGACCAGGCCTGCAGGGCCCCGAAAGAAATGCGGCGCCTTTCCGACGGGGCGCTTGCGCGCGCGCGGGCGCGGGCGCCACGTCTCAACGGCGCCTTCACCCCCAGGAGTGAAGCCGAGATCGGCTGCAGCAGCTCCTGCGGCACAAGGGTGACAAAAAATGAAACGAAGAAGCTGCGACCAAACGCTTCCGGCCTCCGGTATCTGGCTCCACATCGGCTTGGCTCCTGCCGCCAACAGCTGCTCCGCCAGGCTTCAACTTACCCAAGGGCTTGCAGAATGCCTCGCTCTAATTAGCCGGTGTTTTTAAGCCTCAGTAGATCCTCTAACAGACTCTACACGACTGCCAAGATGACCACTAGAGCATCACCACGACCGGGACGACCACAAACCCCAAATGCTTCCCCCTGTGCTGCCTTGGCAGCTGCGACCCGAAGACTTATAACCTCCCCTCGCACGCACCTGCACGAAGACTAACTGACAGTTTCCGTTCACTCCGAACGAGAGAACCAGAAGGGTGTACCACAAAGTTTGAGGAATGTGGCCAAATCTGTATCCTGTGCATAGACCGACATTTGAGTGCAGGACAAGAAGAGCGGCCTTGATCACTCTATTACTATATACGTATCGTTTGCTAATAGATTTACTAATATTGCTACAATGGTCCTTAGACTTTTCCCTGAACTTATGCTCACAGCTCACAGCATGGCACTTTTGGGGCCGCAGACAGGGCCGAGGTTTCGGAGCGCAGCGCAGGGCACGCTGGATCGCTGGATCACGGGTAGAGGATTTGGGAAGCATACGGGAGCCTTCGAGCTTGGGTGTCAGATCCTCCACGGAAGGAGACGTGAGCACTAGAGTTCTTTTAGCAGGATCACTGGACATCACGTACTGACCACAGCATGCCCTGACGATGGCCGGATCAGCGTGCCGAGAGTTGCGCCAGCTTGGGCCACCGCAGCGCGCACCTAATAAACAGCCACAGAACCTCGTCCTTTGCTTGTTCTTGTTACTTGTTTCTAGTGACTGCGCCAGCCTTGGGTCGATCTTTCCGAAGATTTTGCTGCCTGTGTCACAAAGCTCAGCGACCATCCCAACGTCAGGACACAACCCTGGGATCCAGGCCAACTGGATTTCCCTCCTTGTCGACCTCACCATGCAAAGGAGTCAATCTTGATTATTTCTGGCTCTGCGTCTGTCCGTCCGTCTGACGGTCCGTCTGTCTCTGCCTGCCTGCCTGCCTGCCTGCCTGCCTATGTCTGTGTGCGTCTGTCTGTGTCTGAACACTTCTGAGCCATTGCTTCATGTCAGTGTGGGACCCGACGGCCAGACCTGTCTCTTCTGTCGTCTCTGTCTGTCTGTCGGTGTCTGATTTGTCTGCATCTGTCTCCGGCAGATTGACTTGCGCGCACGGCGCATGGGGAGTTAGGGGCTTTGTCTGTCTCTGACCTTGCCTGCCCGCTTGCTGCCTGCTTGCTGCATGCCCTTCTCGTCTCATCTAGTCAGCGAACCATCTTCCAATCAAGTCCCATAGTCTTTCCAAATGGGTTCAGTCACTCGGTTGTCAGTCGTCTGCAGGATAGATCTTGGACGGATGAGATCATGCAGCCTCTACTTTCATGGCTCAGCAACCCTCTTCTCAGCATCCTGCTAGCACGCCGCAGTTCGTGTCGAAGGCGTGGCTGAAGCCGTTACCCAGCGGCTCCGGTGTGTTCTTGGTGCGTCGGGCTTGAGCTTGGCACTTCTTGGCGGTACCGTTTCGGGAAGCTTGGAGGGCTTAACGTTGACTGACCACTTTGCCAATCCCAAGCCTGGCCTATCATAAGCTTGAAGCTATGGCTAGCCCTGTACCGCTTTGTCTAGAAAGCACGGGACCTTAAGCCGTTGCAGCCCAACGGCCCTGCGCATGCGGGTGACGATCGCTCGAAGCACCTTGTTCTTGGGACCACCTGTTCGGCCAACCACAACGACCTCAGAAGAAGCGAGAAGAAGAGATGCCTCACTGTGCGTCGGTCTCCCGCGGCTCTCTGTTTCTGAGGCATCCGGCCACATCTCCCGGCTCCACAGCTCGAACTTGCGGCTTGATACCTTTGCCCACCACGCTCATGATCTTCATCTTGTAGGCCTCATGCAGTTTTTTTTAGGACACAACGAAACGCTCGCGCGTGTTCTGCACCGTCTCAAAACGGTCGTGCGGCGGCTTTTTGCAGACCGAGGGACTCCGCTGTTGTCCTGGCACATCAGGACGAAGTCCTTCGATGGAAGCAGCGATCCAAGCCTTAGGCGGTGTAGACTCTCTCGCAAGCAAGGGCAAAAAATATACAAAGTTGGCGAGAGCTTGGAGAAGTTGTGCGCGCCTCCTATGAGCTGCTCCTAGCTGCTCCTAGCGGTCCTAGGCGCCCGACATGGCGACCAGCCCCAGGAGGAGGGCGGGCACCTGGCACCGCTGCAGAGAGAGAGGAGATGCGCCGTGACTCTCTCTGCTCACACGGAGGCGCTGCGGGGCACTTCCCTTCATTTTTTTTTTTTTTTTTTGGGG